TTTCCGTTTTAACGCTCTACCCTGATCAACTAGCTCCAATGCACTGGAAGCCATTAAAACTTCTGCATGGTTGTGTTTTGTTGTTGTTATTGTTTTAAACCCTTTACCTATTTTGTTGTTGTTAAAAGCGAGAGCAATAACAAGCAAACTGCATCCCCATGCATGAGCTCAGAATAAACTATCCAACAGCCGGGAATAATGCAAGCAACTTGGACGGAATAAAAGGTTTCTCCTTTCCCAGTTGCAGATAAGAGATCCCATCCTTTCAAAAACCCATTTTCCCATGTGTGAAATATTTTGCTATGTAAATGACTTGGCGCCGGCGTTACCTTTTGAGACGCTATTGAGAGGACTTGAAAGAGGAGCCTCTTTTCACACTTCTGTTGTGAAGGGTTAGCTTTATGAATAAGAGCCTGGGAGAAGAAAGCGCTGTTCCTAAAGCTGGCAGAGAAATGTGGTGCAAACGCAATGCGCTGGCTACCTCTTCGGTTTCCCCGTGTGTTCAATGCACCATTGACTCACAGGGACGCATGCTCACAACCTGATTCCGTGCGCATGATCTGGAAGTCAGTCCCAGAGATGTTAGTGGGGATGTATTGACAAGCGATTGCATGTCCATTACCAGTGGGCCAAGAAGGAAATTTAGGTCATAAGGAAAGCGGCCACAGCTCAGTGGTAAAACGTCTGCTTTGCAGGCAGAAGGTCCCATATTTGATCCCCGGCATCTCCAGGAAAATCTCCTGCTATTCAGACATGTTTCACCAATACACAAGGACCCATTATTGATGAAGGTGGCAGGGAGAATGCAATAATAATAATAATAATAATAATAATAATAATAATAATAATAATAATATAATTTATTATTTATACCCCGCCCATCTGGCTGGGTCCCCCCAGCCACTCTGGGTGGCTTCCAACAAAACACTAAAACACAATAACCTATTCAACATTAAAAGCTTCCCTAAACAGGACTGCCTTTAGATGTCTTCTAAATGTCAGGTAGTTATTTTCCTCTTTGACATCTGGTGGGAGGGCGTTCCACAGGGTGGGCGCCACTACCGAGAAGGCCCTCTGCCTGGTTCCCTGTAGCTTGGCTTCTCACAGAGTGGAACCGCCGAGAAGGCCCTCTGCCTGGTTCCTTGTAACTCGACGCTTGACCTCAGTGTCTGGGCTGAACAATGGAGGTGGAGATGCTCCTTCAGGTATACTGGACCGAGGCCGTTTAGGGCTTTAAACGTCAGCACCAAAACTTTGACTTGTGCTCGTAAACGTACTGGGAGCCAGTGTAGGTCTTTCAAGACCGCTGTTATATGGTCTTAGCGGCCGCTCCCAGTCACCAGTCTAGCTGCCGCATTCTGGATTAATTGTAGTTTCCAGGGTCACCTTCAAAGGTAGCCCCACGTAGAGCGCATTGCAGTAGTCCAAGCGAGTGATAACCAGAGCATGCACCACTCTGGCAAACCGAACGTGTCAAATTGCAATTTTCTCTCCCATTCCAGCAGCAACTTTTTAAATTATCCTAATTAAACCAGGATTTTGGAGGATTGGTATGCATAAGGCAGAGCGGATCAGAAGCGCCATAAAGGAATAAGGCCGGGGATTCCCACCCCCCTCTAATAGTAGCACCGAAAGCTTGTCTTTTATGTTATAGCCCTGATGGAAAACTCATGCATTGAAGAAGAGGCGCCCAGGGAATAGATATTATGGCAATGTGTTTTTTTAAATGCCTTACTCGCTTCAAAGAGCTCCCAGACCAGAACAATCTCAAAACCTGTTTTTACCGTTTTTGTTTGCAATTATGTGCTTTTTCCATTATGCGTTCTTCAACATCTGTGCATTTGTCATTTGTGTAACATCTGTAATGATAAGAATAACCTCCTTTCATACCAGTTTTTTTCCTGCATGAAATTAGACGCCTGTATAGAGAAGCTTAAGGACAAGTGTGGCGCTGTGGGTTAAACCACAGAGCCTAGGACTTGCCAATCAGAAGGTCGGCGGTTCGAATCCCCGCCACGGGGTGAGCTCCCATTGCTTGATCCCTGCTCCTGCCAGCCTAGCAGTTTGAAAGCACATCAAGTGCAAGTAGATAAATAGGTACCGCTCCGGCGGGAAGGTAAACGGCGTTTCCATGCCCTGCTCTGGTTTGCCAGAAGCGGCTTAGTCATGCTGGCCACATGACCCAGAAGCTGTACGCCAGGTCCCTCGGGCAATAAAGTGAGATGAGCGCCACAACCCCAGAGTCGGTCACGACTGGACCTAATGGTCAGGGGTCCCTTTACCTATAGAGAAGCTTATTCACAGAACCCATGGCAATACATGAGCTTACGAAGAGTCATCGAGAGTACCCTTTGCAGACAGCCCGCTTCTCCTCCATCAACTGCATTTTTAATTGGGTTTCAAATACCTAAGTGAAAACTGTGTAAAGCCCATGATTCAGTTCAGGGCCCGGATCAATGTCAGATCATGGCCAGATTGGAGGGGACAGATGTACATTCACAGTCCCTAGTGGAAATTTTCAGCATATTGACACTAATAATAATAATAATAATAATAATAATAATAATAATAATAATAATAATTTATTTATACCCCACACATCTGGCTGGGCTTCCCCAGCCACTCTAGGCGGCTTCCAAAGGAACATCAAAATACAATAACCTATTAAACATTAAAAGCTTCCCTAAACAGGGATGCCTTCAGATGTCTTCTAAAAATCTGCTAGTTTTTCTCTTTGACATCTGGTGGGAGGGCGTTCCACAGGGCGGGTGCCACTACCAAGAAGGCCCTCTGCCTGGTTCCCTGTAACTTCGCTTCTCGCAGGGAGGGAACCACCAGAAGGCCCTCGGCACTGGACCTCAGTGTCTGGGCTGAATGATGGGGGTGGAGACGCTCCTTCAGGTATACTGGACCAAGGCCATTTAGGGCTTTCAAGGTCAGCACCAACACTTTGAATTGTGCTTGGAAATGTACTGGATCTCAGGGATCCAGGATTGGCTGCAGCTAAGAACATCAACTTGTGGGCCTTTTGTGGTTTACATCAACTGGTATTCAGAAGCATTGCTGTCTGTGAAGGCAGAGCATAGCCATAAAGGCTAGTCGCCTTTGATAGCCGCTCTCCTCCAATGAATTTCTCTAATTCTCCTTTAAAGCTCACCTAACCTTTAGGTCTGGTGGCTGTCCATGGAGGCACAGGTCAAATCTGTGTCCAGGGCAGCTGTTTACCAGCTCCATCTGGTACGTAGGCTGAGACCCTATCTGCCTGCAGACTGTCTCGCCAGAGTGGTGCATGCTCTGGTTATCTCCCGCTTGGACTACTGCAATGCACTCTACGTGGGGCTACCTTTGAAGGTGACTCGGAAACTACAATTAATCCAGAATGCGGCAGCTAGACTGGTGACTGGGGGCGGCCGCCGAGACCATATAACACCGGTCTTGAAAGACCTGCATTGGCTCCCAGTACGTTTCCGAGCACAATTCAAAGTGTTGGTGCTGACCTTTAAAGCCCTAAACGGCCTCGGTCCAGTATACCTGAAGGAGCGTCTCCACCCCCATCATTCTGCCCGGACGCTGAGGTCCAGCGCCGAGGGCCTTCTGGCGGTTCCCTCATTGCGAGAAGCAAAGCTACAGGGAACCAGGCAGAGGGCCTTCTCGGTAGTGGCGCCCGCCCTGTGGACCTGTAGGTTGGTGGCTCTCACTTCTTCCATACTTCCAAGCTTTAATTATGTGCTGCGTGAAGGACTTTCTTCTACGTGTACTGACAGCTACCTGACTGTGTCCTGACAGTCAAGTGTCTTGCTGCTAGGAAACCCAGGTTTCTCAGTATTACTGCCCACAATGCTCCCTGCCTGCATCTAATTCACTTGCTGGTAGCTCACTCTGGTAAAATTAAATCATGTTAATCCATCCCTATCATCTGAATGCTGGAGGGGATGCTCAGAACAGACTTCCCACCTCCACATGGAGCGGTTGTGGCATTTGGGATTCGATTGTAAATCTGAGATAGCGAACCAGATGGTCCCAACACAGCCTTTGTAACTCTTATTTCTGTTTTCACTGGCTCCTCCATAAATATCTTCTTCACTACCTCTTGGTTGCTGCCATATCAATAATAGCTGGAAGCTGGAAAACTACCCCCTGGTTTTTCCGACTGCAAAATGGTATGGGCGCATTGGGTGGCTGACTTTCATTGAAAGATTAATGCACGATACCCAGAAAGCGAGGGTCTAAACGACATCTAATCAATTTGACATGGTACAGTGTCCATTCCTGATATTCCTAAATGCTTCTCCCGAGGGTTTGTCACCTCCCATGACCCAGCCTGAACTTTGGAGAGGCTATACCAGATAGCTGTTTTACTTCCCTGATTTCCACGCTTGATACTTCTTTCCAGACGTATGGAAATAATATACTGTAATCACAGTGCGTGAGAGACCTGCAACTGTTTGTTTTGTTGTTGTTGTTCTTTATTGTATTGCAATTTCCAAATTCAGCAAACAAACCGCCCATCGTTCTTTGCACCCTTGGGGTTTTGCCAGTAGAGAAAGGGCAATGAAATAACGGTAAAAAACAGGGGAAGAACCTCAGCTCCAGTGGCTGAATTTGGCCCTTCAGCCCTCTTTATGTGGCCCCTGGGACTCTCCCTAGGCAGCACACCATTCCCAGCCACACATCCTGCTGGCCCTGGTTTGCGTCTTCCTTGAGCGTTGTATCCTGGCTGGAATGTGTCCTTGAACTATGATAATTCCTCTTGCTTCCCTGGGTGAAGGACAGAGAGGAGTTTGTGAATGTGTATACAAACTAGCTTGCTGTGCAAAGGTGGGGTCTACATTCATTGCTCTGCCCACTATTTCCTCTTCCATTATTTGTATGTGGCCCTGGAAGGTTGTCCTTGGGCTGAGAATGGTTCTTCACCTCTGGCATATATGGAGAGCAAATGGGGCGACTTGACTCAGCCAGCAACGCTTTTAATCACTTGACCTTTTCCCTCCTTTTTGCAGGATGCCCAGGGATGTGGGATAACATTACCTGTTGGAAGCCTGCCTTTGTGGGCGAGGTCGTCTTCGTCAAATGCCCAGCGCTCTTCACAATGGTGAACTTCGATGACGGTAACGTTGCCCGAATCTTCGTTGTGCTTGTGCCGTACTTTTGCCAAATGAGAGCTTTGCTCCTTGTATGGTGGCCTGGAGTGCTCAAACCAAGCAAGATACAACTGTGCACAGGCATAAACATTCTGCAACAACACAACTGTCAGGGACTGGGCAGAGGAGGAATGGTGGAGACCACCTCCCCATCCTGACTCTTCCAGGGAGGAGGAAGAAGAAGACAGTATAGATTTACAACAGAGGTTTGAGGGAGGTCACAGCTCAGAGGCAGAAGAGGGGGAAAGCTGGGAAATATTGGGAGAGCTGGAAAAACACCCGGCTGATACATTGTCATCAGAAAGCATTCCAGACCCTCCATCTCCCAGAACCCGGCGAGCCTTGAAAGTAGGAGAGCAAAGAGCTCAAAGACAGAGGGCATGTAGCAGCACCTGTAGAAGTCACAAATGAGGAAGTGGGAGAGACAGGGGTGGAGATTCACTTGGGACAACGCCATTATTCAAGAGGCTGGGTTCTATAGCCTCTCTCTGTGAAAATAGAAATAAAAAGGACTGTAAGAAACTTTTCCTTGCCTTTATACTTTCCTGAGCAACCAGCCGGGAGCTGCTGACAGCATCCTGACAATACCTGAAACACTAAGACAATGGTTCTCAAACCGTTGTTGTTGGACTACAACTCCCATCATCCCTGACCACTGGTCCTGCTAGCTAGGGATGATGGGAGTTGTAGTCCAGCAACAGCTGGGGACCCAAGTTTGAGAAATACTGCACTAAGACCTAGGATTAATCCAAGGCCAGTGTCCTTGGAAAAGGCCATAGCTCAGTGGTAGAGCTTCTGATTTGCCCACAGAAGGTCTTGGATTCAGTCGCCAGCATCTCCAGGTAGAACTGGGGAAGACTCCTCCTGAAACCCTGGAGAATCACTTCCAGTCTGTGCAGACAACACTAAGCTAGATGGACCAATGGTCTGACTCAGTATAAAGCAGGTTCCTTTGTTCCTGATCAGGAGCTTACCAGAACATGGACCACCGTGGTGCTTCTGGCCATCTGTTGAGATTCCTGCATTGCAGGGGGTTGGATTAGACGATCCGTTGAAGTCCCTTCCAACTCTACAATTCTATGATACTTTTGCTGCTGCTGATGGTGGGATTACAAAGCTATGGTACTACTAACCTTACTATATGCTTGTGAAACATGGACCACTTATAAACACCATCTCCAACTCCTCGAAAAATTCCATCAACGGTGTCTCCAAAAATGGTACACATCACTTGGGAAGACAGGCAAACTAATATCAGTGTACTGGAAGAAGCAAATATCACCAGCAATGATTCTTCAACATCAACTTCGTTGGACTGGTCATGTTGTTCAGATGCCTGATGATCGGCTTCCAAAGCAACTACTCTATTCCTAATGTAAAAAGGGAAAGCGTAATGCTGGTGGTCAACAAAATAGGTTTAAAGACTGTCTCAAGGCAAATCTTTTAAAATGTAGTATAAACACCGACAACTGGGAAACACTGGCCTGCGAGCGCTCCAGTTGGAGAACAGCCTTTACCAAAGGTTTCATGGGCTTTGAAGACACTCAAATTCAGGACGAAAGGGAGAAACGTGTTAAGAGGAAGGCACGCTTGGCAAATCCACACCATAATCAACTCCTGCCCGGGAACCAATATCCCCACTGTGGAAGGACGTGTGGATCCAGAACTGGCCTCCACAGTCACTTATGGACTCACTGTTAAAACTGTGTTTATGGAAGACAATCTTACTCAGCTACAAGGGATCGCCAAAGAAGAAGAAGAAGAAATCACCCCATCAGCTGCTTTACGGATGTGCATATGTACAGCATTTATACCCCACCCTTCAGCCAAAAATGGGTCTCAGAGTGGCTTGCAGAAATCAATATTACGACAGTCCCTGCCCTTTGGCTGTTCATTCACACCAGGCCGAAATTCAGTTTTCGAAGGACAAGGCCAGAATCAATGGCCTCTTTTTTTTCTTTTCTTTGATGAGGGCAAATCATGAAAGTAATATTTTCTAACCCGACCGACAGCTGGTGAGGTGGGACTGATCCGCAGATACAATCGCCAACATGTGTTACATTTTTTTCTTATCAGTTCCTCCCTGATAACCAACAGCAGGCCTGGAGTCTCCATGGCAACGGCTGGGATCTTTTGAAAGCAATGAGCAGGCTTGTTACCCATGAGGCCGGCGGCTCCGGTAACATCAATCAAAGCCTTGGAACGAAAAAGAAGCAAAATATATAGAAACTAGTCCAAGGAACAAGAGGAACTTGATGCAGAAGAGGCACCACATTATTTGGTGGCTTTGTCTATTTTTTAAAGCAGGGGTGGCTAACCTGTGGCCATCCAACTTTGGCTGAACTACAACTCCCATAAGTCCCAGCTAGAGCATGGCACATGATGAGGGATGATGGGAGTTGTGTGTTATGGAGTGGTTGGACGCAAAGGAATGGTGGGAAGAATTAGCTGGGGAACCCCCAAGGGGAGAAGGCTCAGAGTCCAGGGACTGGTGGTGGGTGAGTGATCAGATAATAATAATAATAATAATAATAATAATAATAATAATAATAATAATAATAATTTATTATTTGTACCCCGCCCATCTGGCTGGGCTTCCCCAGCCACTCTGGGCGGCTTCCACAAAGACCAAAAATACACTAATATGTCACACATAAAAAACTTCCCTGAACAGGGCTTAAGATGTCTTCTGAATGTCAGGTAGTTGTTTATCTCTTTGACATCTGATGGGAGGGCGTTCCACAGGGCGGGCGCCACTACTGAGAAGGCCCTCTGCCTGGTTCCCTGTAGCTTTGCTTCTCGCAATGAGGGAACCACCAGAAGGCCCTCGGCGCTGGACCTCAGCTGGAGAAGACTGGGAATAGGAGGCATCAGAAGCTGACAAGGTAACAGGGCTTAGTGAGCAGGGAGAGTTTGTGGCAGAGAGAAGTCCAAAATCAGAAGCAGAAACAGGATAGTGGGAGGCGAGGTCAAGAGGCAGAGATGAATCAGGCTGATGAGGAAGCATGGGTGTCTCCCCCTCCTGCTGCGACAAGCTCCCCTCCTCCCTGGTCTCCCAGAACCAGAAGAGGCATGAAGAGGGCAGAGGAGAAGTCAACTTCACATAGGCATAGTCTCAGATTGCTTGGGGGGAAACCCTGAAGAGGAGGAGAAACAGGTAATTGTGGTGGGGACCTTTAGTCTCTGCAACTGCTTCATGGGAGCAAGACCTGACAAAGATGCTGTGTTCATTAGGCCTGACGCTCCTTTGTGGATCCTGTTTGGTAATAAAGAGAAACTCTGTGTGATTTTCTGCTGCTCATTGTAGTCCAGGAATGTCTTGGGGCCCACAAGTTGGCCAGCTCTGTTGAAAACAACAACAGCAGCAGCAGCAGCAGCCACCCATATTGGCCATCTTCCTAGAACATTCCATTTGAGGTTCAGACGTTCCAAACCCAAATGAAATATTGCTGTGTGTGACCTTCAGGCCTATCTATTTTCAGGGAAGCAGTTCTTCTCTCCCTCCCACCCCTTGAGAGTTAAGAAAGATTTGCGAAAACAAGTTCTTCTTGTCAAAAAGGGATGAAGGCACATCTGTAGCTCATGACACAGGACTTGTCACCTGAATAACGCACTGTCACCGGTTCCTTTTAACAGGAGATGGCAGTCCCCGGCTCTCACTCTCTCTGTCTTCAGCAAGCGTGACAGTACCCTGGCATCCTCATCCTCATTAAAACTGCTTTGGGAGGGGGTCTTTCAGAGAGCAAGACATCTTGGGAGAGGGAAGGCTTAACTCTTTCCTTGCTCTCCGCTTCTACACTCCAAATTGCTCCCCAATGCCTCACAGTTGAGTGGTTTCAAACATTTACATGTGGCTTCTTTGCAGAGGCAGTTTTAGGGTCGCTCAACCAGGGCAGGTGGTGCTGTGGGTTAAACCACAGAGCCTAGGACTTGCCAATCAGAAGGTTGGCGGTTCGAATCCCCACAATGGGGTGAGCTCCCGTTGCTCAGTCCCTGCTCCTGCCAACCTAGCAGTTCGAAAGCACCTCAAAGTGCAAGTAGATAAATAGGTACCGCTCCAGTGGGAAGGTAAACGGCATTTCCGTGCGCTGCTCTGGTTCACCAGAAGTGGCTTAGTCATGCTGGCCACATGACCCGGAAGCTGTACGCCAGCTCCCTTGGCCAATAAAGCGAGATGAGCGCCGCAACCCCAGAGTCGGTCACGACTGGACCTAATGGTCAGGGGTCCCTTTACCTTTACCTTTACCTTTAACTAGGGCGGTGCCAATGGGCACCATACTGCAGAGGGCGCCACAACAATGCTTTGTAATGGAGCATGAGAGGCAGGTGGCACTGAATTTTAGCATCACGCAGGGCACCGCTGAAATTTGAGAGCCCAAAGTCCACCGCAGGCCATTGCTTTCCTTCATCCCAATGCCTCCTCGGTCTGATATTCGGGGCAAGACAGAGCAAGAGGGGAAAGTACTTTTGTAGTCATAGCACAGGGCACAGAAAGTTACCTTCTATTGAGTCAAACCACTGGTCCAACTGGCTCAGTAGTGTCTAGCCTGATTGGCAGAAACTCTACAAAGTTTCGGGCAGGAGTTGGTGACGCTGGGTTTCGAACCTCAGACCTTCAGCTGGCGAAGCTGAATCTTCAAGGCTGAGCTACATCCCCTTGCCATGTAAGAACACAGAATGCTCTGCTGGGTTTCAGATGTGTTTTGCGTCACCTCGGAAGCACAGCATAACAGGGAACTGCTCCGGTCCAGTCCTCCTTCCAAGGATGGAATTTGGAGAATCAATCCAGTGGTTGGGTTTATTTTTATTTATACCCAGCCTTTCCCCCCTGATGGTTCTCAAGACAGGATGCTCTGAATTCAGAGCGCACTGAGTTCCGCTGAAGTCTAGCAGTACATGAAAGGGCTACAGCTCTCCCAAGCTTTGAGCTGGGGAAGGGGATGGAGAATTGTCCCCACCATCACGTT